GATGTTATGTTAAGTTTGTAATCGCCAACCCGCATTGAGCAAGCGTGGTGGCTAATGCTCAAACCTTGTCCGTGTGAGAAGAGGCTTTGCAGTGGGCATTAATAGGCTGTTGATGAGTGTTACCATAAACCATTATGCCTGCTGGTGCTGAAAATCAGTGCTGTAAGCTTCGCTGCGACACACTACGAACTCCTTTTTCTGTGTTCTAGTATTGTTGTCAGCGTGTGTGTCATGGCGACATTGCATGCAAACAGGGTTCGTGGTGCAAAGCCATGATAGAGTGGAGACCGTGGAGCGAAAAACGCCCACAAGGAAGACCACAGATGCGTTGGTACGATCACATCAAATAAACAGCTAGCACGAAATGGATAGAAATTGCTCAAGACCGAAAGAGATGGCAGAAACTGAAGGAGACCTACAACCCAAGGGTAGATAGAAAAGGGCTAAAGAAGAAGAAGAAGAAAAAGTGTAATGTTGTATTAAAAGGATTTTCTTTCTTTGTTTCTTTCTATTTGCAATGAATTTCGAAAGATTTAGTTTGACTTGGGATATATTCGTAAGGACAGTAGCTCATTTTGTAACTACTAAGTAGTTACAACATGAAACATGAAAGTTATTCATGAATTCTAATTTTCCCCAGTTTTCATGTGATATTCAACCAGAAAAATTGGAGACATGACAGCAGCCTATTAAGACGTCATTATTATATTGATGTGTTTGGCAGTCAGCTTGCAAATTGCAGCTCATGTTCGACTCTCAACTACCTTCAGATATTCAAAGTAATTGAACTTTTTGTTATTATTAAAACCTCGTTCATCGGTCATCACCTCGGTCTTAAGATTTAAGATTTTAGACATGTGCTTATGTGAAATTATTCGTACTAAAAATACATTAAAACAAATTGTTAAACAAGTATACTGTAAGTAGCCAAAGACTGTCAGTCCACTTTAGATAGTAGTAACACTGGTTTTTTAAGTTATTGTATAACATAACATCACGACTTTTATCCCCAAATGGGTAGGCAGAGGTGCGTATTACGGCACCTAATGCCACTGTTCAATATAACATCCACTTTTCACAATTTATTTTGAGTCCCATGTAATAGGGGATGAGCCTATTGCCATATACTGGGCTCAATTCCCGACTCCGTGCCACAATGTAACACTTTAAAAAAAACCCAATAAACCGTCTCAGGAATCACGGTGACTGCACGGTTGGTGCAGTGGCTTGGCAACCGGCTGCCGTGCACCGTGTCGCGGGTTCGATTCCCGCACGGGATAACACTTTGTGTGATCCACAAATTGTTGTTTCGGGTCTGGGTGTGATGTGTATGTGATATTGTACCTCTATGTCTGTAAACGCACCCACGACACAGAAGAAAATCCTAGTGTGGGGCAACGTTTTTAAAACTAAAAAAAAAAGAAATCGATCCCCACACCCCTTACCTAGCAGTCGCACTTTCAACCAGTGGACCAACGAGGTAGACAGACAGACGATATGTTAAGCCTTATATTAAACAACATTCTTATCATATTTAGAAAATCTGTTTTATCTTGAGAATTCTTTAATACATCATGTTTGAGATAACATTATATATAAGATAACTACAAGGTAATTACACAGTAGCAATTAGTCAGTTGGTATCTACTAATGACTGTGAAAACATGGGAAAATACGTGCTACTCAAGAATCAGGAACTTATTTAGTTATTTACACCAAAAATTACAACCAATCTATAAATATGCATCATCTTTTAATCATTCTTTAAGTGTGGGAGAGCCATCCTTCGGCACGAATGGGCCGGCTCGACACCACAGCCCCTGCCTACCCCTTCGGGGATAAAAGGCGTGATAATATGTATGTGCATAACGTCTGTCCGTCTATATATTTGTTTATGTCAAGTGCAAAACGACCCTGAGTTATAACTGTTGTTATTTAATTTAACATATTTTCCGAAATTCATACAATTTGCACACGCAATATTATCATGTCATGGTAACTACGTAAATGACCTCTGACTGCAAAAACCATATCATTACAATACAATTTGTTGCAAAATAGGAGAAAGTAAGAACAAAAAATATATGAAGAGCTTAATTTTCGTATCGCTCGTAAGAAAGACATTACTCAATTTGAGTAAAACGCAGGCAATGTAAAAAAGGAGATGAACAATGAACATGCTAATTATCGAAGAGAACTTCAACCCAAAATATTTTAAAAATCGTTATACGTGTGTTGAATATTACAACAGCAGATAATTAACAGAATAGTGTTAAGTAACCGAATATTTTGATGTGCCAGTACCTAAACAAGATCCTACAGATGGCGAGGACCAGATCATTGGCCAGCCTCCTCTCATGCGTAAATTATGTAACACTCGCAAGATTCGGAACAGCCGAGGTTGCAAGGAGAAAGTGCATGGTGCATTCGGATTAACAACTCGAGCGAAATTATTCGCTAATGCCGTGAAAATGGCCACTCTGACGCAACCCATGATGACTCGTATTATGAACAGTTTCGAAATTTTTATCTAATCCTCGAAAGTGCGATCTGGTATTTTGAACTGTAATTTCTAATTCCTCATCGGTTTTAAGGTTGTTACGTTCACTTATCTCGGTCAACAGGTTGCGAAATCACCAGTGATTCATTCCGGTGAGGTGCTAAGTATGTAACTTAATATGTCGAAAAAAAAACGACTTAATTCCACTTTAATATAAAATTGCACGTCAATTACGTCACGCGCATGTCATAAAGTCGCTCGCTGACATCAGTACTTTCGATTTTATCGAAAACGACTTTCGATAGGGACCTATTACTGCTCTTTAAGGCGTCGAAACATGTTTTTGTTTCGCATTAATATATTTTTTTGTTTAACCGCATATGGCTTTACGATTGTAGCAGCAAGATGTACCAGTGGCCGTACCTCGACGTGTGAAAGTTCGGACATTAAATCAAGGAACCGTTCGTACAAAATAGATTGTGTTTTTATTTACAGAAACTTATAACAACAAATATAATACATAATAACATCTAGGATGCGATCACATGATTTACATTAAATGAGATGAGATGACTAACAATTTGGGTCGTTTAGTGGGGGTGACCGTATGACTCGGAGGGTACTCCGTAAGATCCAGAGGGGATTCCGATGGTGGTGTAGTGAGAGGAGCCTCCGTGACCGCCGGAGGAGAATCCACCATGACCACCGGATGAGTATCCACCGTGACCGCCGGAGGAGTATCCACCGTGACCACCAGAGGAGTATCCACCGTGACCACCGGAGTAGTAGCCGTGTCCACCGGCGTAAACTTCCTCAGCCTGGTGGTACTGAGCGACCTGGATAGCTTGCTGGACGTGGTCGAGTTCAATGCCAACAACCTTCTGGCTGGGGACACCGTATACGGGGGCGGGGACTCCGTATTGGGAGGAGATGCCGTGTCCGTGTCCGTGTCCGTGTCCTCCGTGTCCGCCAGAGTATTCCTGGTTCTTGATCTCCTCAGACAAGAGGATGTTCTTAATTTTGTGGAGGAGATGAGGGTCTACGAAGTAACCTTCGCTTTCGGAGTGGCCGACGGGCACGGAGTGGTAGTGGCCGCCGCCGCTGAGGGAGCCCAGGGAGATGGAGGACGAGGGGGCGGAGTAGCTGTAGCCTACTGGAGGCTCAGCCATGGCGCAACCCAGCAGGGCGAGGGCGACCTGTAAACAGACATTATTGTAAGACTCCGATTCCCAAACTTTTTAAATCCTGAAAGAATCTATAACCTAAGACCTAATTGTCGTCGATGTGGTCACAAATTATCCCCAATTTAGCCCCAATCACACCGTGTAGCATCGAAGCTATCACGTCTACGGGACGGAAATTCCATGATCACTAAGTAAGTGGTTCATTTTTCCAAAAACTGGTGCAAAACACTTTGGAGACGAAATCCTTGGGGGCATCCGGTTTGCACATCCAAAATCACCGATTGCTATGTAACTATAGAGTTCACTTCACATGGAGTGGTCACACCCTCCAACACTTGACACACGCACTGCACTGAAACTTACGATGTATTTGGCCATGTCTAGTTTGTTCGAACGCTCGCTGATGTGTGATGCCAGTATTCCGACCGAACCGCTTATATACTGGAGATCAGACCGTCTACTTTTACTTTACTTGCAGAGGCTACCGAGGACGAATTCGGGTTGCAAATGGACTATTTTTTATTTTTATCGCTTTGTGGGTGAGGTTCTGGTGATTGGTGATAGAGGTTAAATATGTGGAAGAAAGGAAATCTGCTCCAGTTTTATAATTTTTTAAATTTATGGAGTTTATGTCGTAAAATAAGGGTAGAAAGGAACCTGAGTTTGGTAAGGAGTAATTTTTAAAAATTAAAGTAAGTAATTGAAGTCTATTTTCTGTCTTTTTTGCTTCTGAAGTTACTTTATGATATAATCATAAATGAATTATATTCATTTAAAAACACTGCAGATACTCACTTGTTAACGTTTGAAAATTAGTAGGTACCTATCATTTTGAAAAGTTAAAGTAGTATTTTCTATATCCACATCCAGTTTTGAATTTTAAATCTTGTTATCTTTCGTTATTATTATTGGTCGATGATTGATATTAATTAGATATATAATTTACGTGGTAAAAATAAAAAAACATACTTGAATAAGGATATGAATATATTGTAATGTGATGCACTTGTGAAATTGTGTCACTGATGCAATCGTTCTAAGAACCAAATTTAGCTTGACCTCAAAATTATTATTAAAATAATAACTAATAGAATGTCCTGTCTATAAATAAATATAAAACCTCGAGATAATGAATGACTTTATACGATATCTTTATTAGTATTTTGTTCATTTTTTAACAAAGAAAAGTTAAAGACGAGTTTGTTTTCTTGCTTGCGCTAATTTTAGCGCATACGAGCAACTTTTTGATTTTTAGTTTAAAAATAAATTGGATCATTCCCTAGATCAAAAATAAATTGGATCATTCCCTGGATCAAAAATAAATTGTTTTGACTTTTCAATGCAATAACATATTAAAGCTGCGTTTATTTATTGATTTGGCAATATATTTAATGTTTTAATGTTTAAGCTTATTCTTAAGGAAAAAGTGTGTTATTTGACGTGAAAAATTTGATTGGTATTTTATCCAAAATTCAAATAAAAGTATCGTCTTTGGCATTTTGATAAAAGTATTGAATTTGACTCGTTGTCAACTACCGAGTTATATAATAATGTTCAATTATTTTAAAAAAAATATTACCTCTCTCGGGTGAAAACACATCACATACAAATAGGAGTCAAACAACGGGAGAAACCGTGCAGACAGTAGCATTATTCTTAATTTTAACACATTTTGTATGGAGCTTATGTCAAAATTCTATCTCAGTAAGCAAATCAATAGATAGAAAGGTTATAGAAAATGGCTGTTAATCAAAATATAGTAGGGTAGGTACATTTCAATTAAGAAATATATACACTTTTACGAAATTTTGAAAACGACAGTTTTCTATGAATTTTGCATGAGATTGCATTTTGTGACGTAATATATTTTTGATGTCAAATGTCGTCTTACGTACTATATATAAGTTTCAAATTAAATCATGTAACGAGATTAAAAATACTGTAACAGATCATTATTAAACAAGTTATTGTTAATCTAGCTTCACCTAGCTACACTGGCGGACTGACTGACAGACTATTATTTATTTTGTATTTGTTGAAGTTTCAAAAGTACCAAATTATGGTTTAATTGAAATAAATGCTTTGACTCTGACTTTTTTTTTTTGACTTTGTTCGAAAATCTTCTAAATAATATTAAACAATATACAAAGAAATTAGATTAGACATTTAAATCAACATTGAAGTGACCGCTGTAACATTGGATACATGTAGCATTGGATGCATCCACTTCAAGTACAATAAAATAAACTGCATTTTCAAAATTACTCTTACTGTATAATTTCTCCTGATTTATTTCCTCACCTCCTTGAAAACGATTGCATCAAAATCATAATTAACACGGAAGTAATTATTAAAATATTATTGGCATTTTACACTCATAACCACGCAATCAGTCGTCAGAACTGCACCAACTGAATAGGAAGTCCCCTGTACGTACATTTTCGATTTCTTACCAAATCAAAATCTGAAACTGATCCTTCTTATTTATAACGTAACATCACGCCTTTTATCCCAGAAGGGGTAGGTAGAGTGTTTGTACAGTGGCATTAGGTGCACATTACGGCACCTAATGCCACTGTACAATGTAACACCCACTTTTCCTGGGGTGAGCCTATTGCCATATACTGGACACAATTCCAGACTCCTAAGTAAAATACTACTAAGTAATTTATTTTAAAAATCCAGTAATACTTTGCCCGGCCTGTGAATCGAACCCGAGACCCCTAGCTAGGCAGTCGCACTTGCGACCAGGCGGCCAACGAGGCAGCCTTCTTATTTATGTCTTTCCAAAATAAGTTCTAAATCCAAAAAATAGTGTAGATACCATAAATTCTTTTTAATCTGTGCTGGTATTTTTGAAGTATAACAATAATGACATTACATTATGTTATGTGTATAACATTAACACTTAATACTACATAACACATACTTGCTATAATCATTACATTCATTACGCATAAACAAATAGTAAGGAGTATTCAAACTATAATGCTATTTGCATAATGGTGTAGCAGTTTTGTAGCTAATTACACACATACGGATAAACGATTTGTTAATGCTATAGAAGCGGGTCAAGGAGTTAACTGTGCGTTAAGACTTATTAACCCCTAGTTTAAAAAAAATACTATTTATTTTGTCTAATTATAATTTGTTACTAATAAGTAAGCAGTGTAGTATGTCATGTGGAAGTGGAACCCTGATAAAAGTACTGCAAGTATAACAGGTTCAAATTCGATTCGAGTGATATTTTCATTTAATAAAGCATCATTTTTTATGGCATATGCCGAAACTAGCGGATTGTAAGCAATCGGCGTCGCCTCTGGAACACCAGAAGCGTTACAAGTGCTTTACCGGCCTTTTGGGGATTAGGGGTTTGAGGATTGTTGGGGATTGGGGAGATTGGGGAAGGGGAGGGTAATTGGGCCTCCGGTAACATCACTCTCACGACGAAACACAACGCAAGCGTTGCTTCACGTCGGTTTTCTGTGAGGCCGCGGTATTACTCCAATCGAGCCCGCCCATTCGTGCCGAAGCATGGCTCTCCCACACTTATTGTTGTTTATCATGCTCTTGTTTTTGAATATAGGCGGACTCAATGCCGGCGCATCTGTCAGATCTATATTATGATATCTATTAAGACCTATTTTACCCGACTTAAGGAAGGGTATTGTTTATATCTAGTTATATATAATGTTTTAAAAATTGAAACATTTTAATAAACTAGCGTATCGAACCAGAGGCGTCATCATCTTATCATCAACCTTCGCACTTAGCAACCACTCAACTAATAAGGTAGGTAACACAAAATTAGCCTTTCTAAATACACACCTTATTATCTACTCGAATCTATCCGGATTTGCATACAGCCAAGCAGCGGGCGGCCATCTTCAATGACAGGCTACAAGTGGCCGTAACAAATTGGTACATCTATCAAATGTGTGACGAGCGTGAGAATGGAGAAATTTCTAGAATAATCCAGTATTTCTATTAATACTTTACTTCATAATTAGTCTTATGGATAAAAGTGTGACTGGTAGGTATGTATGAGTCCTAAATTTTATCCTTGTCTAAGGTTTTAAGGGAGTTTTCAAGTGAATATTAAATCAAACTTGAGAACGAGGTCGCGTTCTCAAGTTTGATTTAATATTCACTTGTTAATTTAAGAAACAGGTATGATTTCTTGCAGGTCCAACTTGCAACTATGGTAATCTATAGATAAGATTTTTCTAAAAGAAACAAGAACAGAGCTATCCTTTCGGGTGTCTTCGAAGTCAGGTATAAAACCAATCAGTCTCAAAAACTGTATAAGTAAGTAAGTCGCCCATAATAGTATCGATTTAGTAGTGGCCTCTTTTTATCATAAATCTTATAAAATTAAATTACTAGTGAAAAGTAGTAACACTATAAGTGCCCTTTTGCTGACCCCTGAATGAAATGCTAAGCGTAGTGTACTTTACTGGCATAGTAACAAGACTGACAATATATTTATACACACGTGTCTAACGCACTTGTGGTAATAAGATGGTCACTTACCATCGTGATGAGAAAGTGATTTGTCGATATCGAGTCTATTCACAATGACGATGCGATTTCTCATAACTATTCGTAATCTTATATAACAATGTCATATCATGCAGTTTTTCCATTTTTGGGACTGTATGGGTTTTATAAGATAGGGGGGCGAACAGGACATTTCTCTTTTCTGATTTTATCCCTGGATCCCAACGTGGTCTAGTCTAGAATGGATTTCGTACTTTATAATTAAACTAATAAACAAAACAATAATAAACAAAATTTAAGCAACAGACTGCCTCGTTGGCCGAGTGGTCGCAAGTGCGACTGCCAGGCAAGGGGTCTCGGGTTCGATTTCCGAGTCGGGCAAATTATTACTGAGTTTTTAAAAAATTCTCAGTAGTAGCACGGAGTCTGGAACTGTGCCCGGTATATGGCAATAGGCTCACCCCCTATTACATGGGAGTCATGGGACTCATAACATAAATAGTGAAAAGTGGGTGTTACTTCTGTGTGCACCTCTGCCTACCCCTTCGGGGATAAAAGGCGTGATGTAATGTAATGTAATAATTAAACTAGTTTAGCAGTTTTTAAAGTAAAAATAATAACGATAATAACATTAGTATCTATTATTAAACTTTTTCGTTTCAATGGTCAAAGATAGTAATTTAACTTACATGTTTAGTGTCAATAGTATCGACTAAAAGCCTCACTTAGATTCATATTTAAATCTTTCGCAATAAAGTTATCTTTATATGATATTTTTCATATTATTGATCGTTCATTTTGGATACTTTTTATTTGGACAACTTTTTACATATTTGTCTTCTTATTTACCACGTTTTCTAACTACATCAGTTAGTATCGATATTTGCTTTCATTGTCTTAGTAAGTGAGTGTGATTGCAGAGTACGAGTCCCAAGTTCAATT